TTTGATGGTAGGTTGAATGGCAGGTTGGGCTAAATTATGAAACGCACTTCTACGCGGCATCAGCGCTAGGTATCAGCCGGTATTAGCCAGTTTCCAGCCACTACCATCATCATTGCACAATTCCACACCAATTTTTGACGAAACGGGTGAACTATAAGGTCCACCGCAAAGTCGACCCATCGAGCGACTGTTCTCCGAAATGTGGTCAAATCGCCCGGAGGGGAAAAACGGAGGATTGGATTGTTTGGCTTGTGTTGGTGTGAATTTAGTTACGGTCGTTTAATTGGATGAATCTTACGTCTAACTAGCTTGTCTTCGTAGGTACATCTATACTATAAAATTGAATAAATCTTCCAAATCGTTATAGTGAAACCTCAATCTACCGATTCCTTCTCGCAGGTAATTGTGTTCAGTCGATGTCGTTGACGAAAAAAAAATTGGCGGCAATCGAAACGCACAAAAAGGTTCAATTATATCACATCTAAAAAAAAGAAAAGAAAGAAAACAGCGGAAAAAAATGTTACCAATTTTACCTTCTTCTCATGAGATGGTGATTGATAATGGCTGCCATCATCATCATCATCACCACCATCCGCACAAGCCGAAAGGAGCCCAACGATTTTCATAGCATCAACACCCCACAGGTAGGCATGGGTTGTGCAACCGCGACATGTAGAGCCCCAGAAAAATTACCCGTCCGGTTGTAATACAGCTAATGACTGCGATCTATGCGGTAATAAATCATTAGCCTTCAATCAGGTCCACGCACATTCGATAAGCGACCTTGTGCCACCACGTGGTGGCTGTAGGTCAATATGCGGGCGGGCGGTGAAGGGAGTAGGATTCCAAGATTGGAATCTAAATTGTTCAGTTCGAAGGTATCAGAGGCCGATATAGGTGTTGGGGGCCCTTTGCTTGATTGGTGTTAGCAGTTTAATTTTATCGCGTTTTAATTGATACCCACTCGAGGGAAGCTATAAACCAGCCGAAAGGGTTGAACTCCCGGCAATCTGAAGGGTATATCGCGTGGAAAGCCAACTGTCGATTCGAGGCCCGGTGGGTCCAGTTTCATTTACCAATCGACTCAGCTCGACGAGATCGGACACATTTCTGTGTTAGGTTAGTGGACCCTTCCCAACACCGATTTGGGAGGTAATTTATTTACACTGCCGTACCTGGGTTGGAGATTCTTGGTGCCGTATGGCTATGGCTGATAGGCGATTGATTGGGATTCCTTCCATTCATTTGTTCTTCTAGTGAAATCCAACCAACCACCCGTGACGCTGTTGTCGTAGTGGTGATAAAAATGTAAACATCTGTCAAACGTGACTGAAATCAGCATTTTCACTTTTTAAAAAGAAAGTTTGTCTTGTTTTGTACGTTTTTGGTGATCATAAAGCTTGTCAAATTGTAAGAAAAGAGGCCTTCTTTAAAATGACAAATGACTTCAATGATACCTTTTGCTTGCAATCAGGAAAAAAGTTGATTTTTTAGACTACGTAGACACAAGATTCACCGCTTAACATTTCCATAGTTGTTGCAGGATTCAGGGATGCAGTGCAGCGGAGAAAGGTTGCCACTGGTTACGGATCAGAGACAGAACGGATATACTCCCATAATTTTGTTGAAGCAGACTTTGGTGCATATAAGTCCCAAAGTTTGTTCTTGTGGGGTAATTTGAGATTAATTTCATGTGGCCGCTCCCCGGGATGGGAGCTTTGCAGCCCAAACCCATTCTCCTTAATTTTTGCTTTGCTGCTGATCTACTGGCGCGCCCAAGCACACAATATGCTAGGTCTCTAAATCCGTTAGCACCAAGTCCCCAACATAATCCAGTATATCCAGCAGACTGACATGGACGTCGATTTCGGGATGGGAATCTGCAATCATACAAAAAATAATCTAAATAATATCAGTGCATCAAAAAACGCATTTTCATTATCTTTCAATGACATTGCAATGAAAATTAACATAACATTACATTATTCAACAAATTTCCTGCATGCATCGTCCATAATAATGATCGTATCTCACTATTTTGAACTTTTGTTTTTTTTTAATAATTTATCATTCAAACTTTGGAATTTGAACCGGCTGTCATAAATTTATCACCTTCGACTAGTACTATTTCCAGCCACTAGTGACGCATAAATTCCACTTGGATTCTACTGTAGCTTGAGTCACCTTGCGAGTTGTCACTACTGCCGGGAAGTTCAACAATGGTACAATGACAACGGAGTCCAGTTTGTTCCGCAAAACCCTCAATCCGATTTCGTCACCGTCAATCTGAACTCGGGGTGGGAGGCTAACATTGTCTTCCCTAGAACCTCTTCCTGGATGGACTTACTGAAGATCGTGCCATTCGTGTCTATCCCTGCTCTTCTGAGCACACCTTCTAACGCGATGTTGAATAGCAGACACGAAATTCCATCACCTTGCCGTAGCCCCCTTCGAGATTACAAGGGACTCGAGAGCAGAGCGTAAAATTATTGACCAGGGTTTCAACTTCTCACTCATTTTCGTGAGCATTAAATCCTCATCACTCATCATATTTTTCTCTGAAAATAGTTTTTCAACTTTTCTCTCACTAAATTCTCACTGAAAAAAATATTTTCTCTCACTCTCGTATACTGAGAAAATCGATGACGTTTATTTCTCACTCATAGCATCGATTCTCACCACGCAAAAAGCTTCATTCTCTTTCTCACTGAAGGCCCACGCACATTAGATCCGGATCGGACGCGTTGCGGCAAAGTGACAGCTAAATCTATTGTTATATTTACGTCAACGCAACGCAAACGAATCTAATGTGCGTGGCCCTTCACTGAGCGGAAGGCTCTATCATAAAATTCTTCCTGTGGAAAGTTCATGGTGCTTTTTCATCGTATCGTTTGACATTTGTGTGCATTTGTGGTTTCTACTGATGGAAATGGATGACAAAAATAAAAGAAAACGTCGGAGCGTTCAGGAGGTTGTCCCCAGAAAATTCAATCTCACCGATTTACCAGCAAACGAATGCGTAAGCAGATACTCCAACCTCCAACCGGTGAGCAGCAAGTAGCAAGCAGCAACCGAAATACTCAAACGGTTCTATCACCAATAGTCCCCGATGTTTCTCCAGAAGAAAGAATCCGTGATCTGTCGTAATCTCCGTTGGTTTCACGGTTGCCAATCCAAGAATGATCCACCACTACGATCCTGACAAATCCGTCAAAAATCCCCAGTGCCGATAATCACGAACTTTTCGTTTCAAGCTGTTGAAGTGCTGGTTATTGCAAACGGTTGTGCCAGCTAAAACTCCGTATCCGGTATCTGAATCAACCACTCGCGTTCTCCTCGCGAAGAAAAAATAAAACAGGTCGTTGCAGCAATCACTAGTCGAAGTAAAATTGCCCTATATCACCTCACTTTAATTTCTATGATCACTTTTTCTCGTCGCCAAACTATTATGTTTTAACTGTAAGACAACTTTCGGATTTATAAAGGTTTAAAATACTTGTATTCCGCTTGCAAGTCGAGAGTAGAATGATCTTATCTACTGGTTTATTTTGCTTTTATCATCTGCATGCGTTACGTGTATTAAGAGTTTACCTCAGTGGGTAATATAACAAATCTCAGAGCGAACGTTTCATTTAGTTACATTTGTCATTTGACAAATACACTTCAGATACCGTAACTAAAAAATTAGCTTGCGGTGGATACCGTTGTACAGTTGTTGATGGTTGTTGTTACACACAGACAACGTACAATGTTGGAAACTTTAAACGCCATATTCAAAAACTCCACCCGAGAGAATTTCAGATATGGGAACTCGGAACCGGCCTAGCTAATCCTCACCCGGAACGTCAGGATCCAAACATTCCTGTGCGAATGACCAAGCAACGCTTATTTGGTGGTGTAATCAAGTGTGTTTCTGTACATGGGCTCCCATTTTCGTTTATTCATCTCGAAGGAATAAGAGATCTTATTCAACCCTACTGTGATGCCTTGAACGTTTCCATTAACGATAAAAATCTCATTGAGTATTTACAAAAAGTCGCCTCTGCGGTTGATACGCTAATCATGAGCAATGTCAGTGGAAAAATGCTATCACTAAAAATTGATGCTGCTTCAAAAATGTACCGCAGTGTCTTGGGAATTGATGCTCAACTGATAACGGAAGAAGGAAAATACAAAAAGTTGACACTTGGTAAGTTATAAAAACATTTTACATACTTTTATGTAAATAAAAAAAATATTATTAGGTATGGTGGAGTTGCACGAACGTCGCACAGCTGTAAATTTGAAAGAGGAACTCTATCAGATATTGGCCCATTTCGATGTTGATATTGCTCAAATATATAGTGTTACTGTTGACAATGGCCGCAATATGGTGAGAATGGTGCACTTAATGGAGAAAGATACTCTGGAAGATATCGATCATTTGCCTGATAACAGCGTCTACGACGATACCGAAAAGGTATCCCACGAAGAACTATGTGACAATGAAGATGAACTTCTGGAGGACTACGATGATAAATTGGAAAGTATTCTGAGTGACCTTCATGGCATAATACATGGACACCAAGTCGTATGTATCCGTTGTGGAGCGCATACCACACAACTAGTTGTCTCAGATGTGTGCAAGGATAGGGGTCATCAAGTTAAAATCATATTTCTTACAAAGCTGGTCACGTCTTTACGTAATGCCAAGTACAAGAACTTTTTCGAGGTTTCTGGTGGAAAGTATCCTCCTATTCCAGTGTGTGCTTAACAATAAAGATATTTTCGATAAACTTGGCCAGGATTACAACGAACTGGGTGAGTACATAAATTATCGTTGAGTAAAGTACATATTTTACAAACTTTTTCAATCGTTGATAAATTTCATCTCATTTTTATAGATCTCACCTCTTATTGGGATTTCATTGAGGCGTTTGTGGAAGCATTCGCACCATAATATGAGTGCACGGTTGCGATACAGAAAGAAAGGTACACTCAGTGATTTTTTTGGCCTCTGGATGACCGCATTTGGCAGAGTATCTGCGTTAGAATCGAACATGTTCCGAACTGCGATCCTGGAATCCATGCAACATCGTGAAAAAGCCCTGTTCGGTAATTACGCTTTTCAGACAGCGGTGTTCATGGATCCCCGGTTTTCATTTCATGGTTCGAATTTATTCTCATCGTCGCAGAAAGAACGCATAGTATTATGTGTGAATATTCAAACATGCGTTGATAGGAAATTAAAGCATTGATTCTCCATTCTAGGATTATTTGCTAGCAGTGTACAATAAGCTTACCAACAAATCACAAACATCGCATCAAGATCCATCACCTCTACCAGCAAATGAGGGTGTGCCATCTACATCACAGGGCAAGTTTAGCCTCAATTGTTACTTGTCTTCGAGGCTCGGCGAAAGCTCTGCAACGATTCCAAAAAGCAACACCTTAGAAATTAGGCTAAGGAATCTCCAGTACCAACAACGGGTAGATGCTGATATTCAAGATTTCAGTATCGTGCATTACTGGGCTCAAAAACGCTTTGAAGATTCAGAGATGTGGAAACTGGCCAGGGTTGTATTCGGTGCAGCAGCGACGCAATGTACTGTAGAACGTGATTTCAGCCAATTCAACATTGTACTGACAAAACCAAGAAACCGTCTTAAGGATCAAAATCTCGAGAACGTCCTTAAGATTAGAGCCAACAAAGGTATGATTCAGGAAGCTCTCTGTGCAGCTTTGCAAGAATGATTGTTATCGGTTGCTTGAATTCCTTGTAGTTGGAATTTGATTCTCTTAAAATGTTTAATTGAAATAATAAATATGAACCGTTCAAAAATGATGTGACTATTTTATTACATCAAGAGATTGTTTTAATTGCTATGGAAAAAAAATGCTTCATTTAGTATGATTCAATATACAAATACATCCTTTAAATTTGTCGAACCTCTTAACGGAATCCCTTTATGAAGAGCTTTGAGTGGGTTGGTTTATTTCCTTTTAATTCCGTTATAATTGCTTATCTTTTGACAGATACGCGTATTTCGTCTACTGCTTGCAGACTTCATCAGTGCCAAGTGGTGTTGAGTACTTGGCACTGATGAAGTCTGCAAGTAGTAGACGAAATACGCGTATCTGTCAAAAGATAAGCAATTATAACGGAATTAAAAGGAAATAAACCAACCCACTCAAAGCTCTTCATACAAATACAATTCATTCGTGAGCATTGACAGATCGTGTACTGTTATATATTGCACGTCAACAGCTCCGATGACTTTTTCCGAAGAAATTAACAAGTTTATCGAGTAATGGCACGATTTTTACGGGTGCTGCTTAAATTCTTCAGTCAAAAACAGACTCATCTTGGAAGTTGCACAATTGCATCACATTAACTTATGGAGCTAGGCATCCAACTATTGTTGTCAAATTGTCCACATTGGCAGCAGTCCTTACAGCAACCATCAAAACTCCGTTTTCACGATGATGTATCCGAATCGGTCTTGAGGGGTCCATGTATATATAGAGGACATTTAAGCTAGCCGAAGCCGTCGATTTATCGTTTGTGCACCGTATTTTCTCAGCGTATAAGCTCATGAGCCAGGATTACTTTCGGCGTTATACACACGATACGTTGGTAATCGCTAAAATGAAGTCTACACACCCATTTTTATTCGCTGGAAACCAGCAACATTTTGCTGGATTTTGCCGAGCTGGAAATCCAGCAATCCTTCCAACAACATGCTTTTGCTGAACGGCCAGCAAATTGATCCAGAGCTAATTTGACAGCACTTAACTGAAAAACCAGCAAAATGTACCGATTATCCAGTAAAATGAATTGGCAATCGTTTTGCTGGAAGAACAGTAATTTTCGTTTGTTTTGTTTTAAAGAAATCACATTTTTATCAGAATACAGTTTATTATATGATAATACGTTCGTGTATAATACATCACATTATGTGCTGGATTTCGGTTGCGCAAATTTATACCGAAAATCGATGCAGCTGTATGCACTCTTGATGGGTTACCGATGAAATTTCGCCTGACTGTAAAAATAAAAAGGAGCCTTGGTACAAAATTGCTTAAAGTTTGAATTTTACGCTTATTTCATGACTTGCGCAGCATTATTGATTTTCTAGTGATAAATTTATGATGTGCACTTTTTAATTTTTCAACCGACTGAAAAATTATCTCATAGCTTGCAGCAGCCAACGATAGAACCGATCTTGATTTTGACATTTAATTCTGTTAGCTGGAACAATCAGCGAAATAATATCGATTACTGGTTTTACAGCAAAACTTGCTTTTGCTGGATACACTTCAGTAATTCATTTTGCTAGAACTTGAACTCAAAATTTGGTGTGTATGTTATAGTGGGAGCAAGTATTCAATAGAGTAAATTATTTGTATTATACCTTATTAACTACGTTGTAAATATTCGCCACAGAATAAATTTTTGATACACTACTTCCAAAACACAAAAGTAAACAGAATAGTATGGATTGCTGTGATTGCTGTCTTATATCGTTTTTGACATTTGCCGGTATAGCTGCAGCAGCACTAAATACCTCACCGTACTCCGAATATAACGACAGTCCAGCAATCAGCTTTACGTTTGTTTACAAACCATTTATGTTGAGTTGACAATAGATCGCATTTGTTGGCGCCGCTTCATCGGTGCAGAACCGTTTTAAAAACGAAAGCGAGATAGAGATTGCTGACGTTTATCGTACGCACACTACGTCAGGTATACGTATACGTAAATGTTTTCGTTGGAATTTTTCTTTCGTTGCAGAAAATTTTCCCGAAATCACTAACATAGTTGTACTTTAGCAATCTCTATTAGTGAATCGAAACCAAACATCAAACCGTTGCTGCGGAAGAAGAATAGACAATTTTTTCAAAAAGTCTCATGTGAAAATCTTGAACCGTATTTCACAATCAAATCAATTATCAAAGAACCAAATTCAATTAGCTTTGATTTATTATTGAACCGATTGTTTATATAGCGATTGGAACTTTACAATTTTGCTAACGTATGATACTTGATTTACTTGAAATTTAATTGATGAACTGAACATCGGACTTCTATAAAAAGTATGCTAGGTATTTCGAGGACTTGTTTATTGCTTAATGTCCTATATACCAGGTCCAACAGATAGAATAACCCGTCTCTTTCACTCTGTCATTCCTCACAGATAACAAGGAACGACGTCACGCTCCTTGTTACATTTGAACATCTGCAGAGTGAAAGAGACCGAAAATTGTGTCTGCTGTACCAAGTCTGTGCGATAGTGCTCGTAGCCCACTGAAAAGCTCTGTGCTCTCACAAGCAGTCATACAAGTGAGAATGAATGCCCTCTCCAGAATGAAGAAAAGTGAGAAACGAGAACGAAAACGATTGTGAGAAAAGGTTCCCGTAAAAAAAAAAGAACCGTAGAGGTACAATGAAATGTATTGTAACCATACAATAGAGTTTATGGTATTTACAATAAATCGTATTCTCCACAACGATAAATTAACAATAGAATGTATTGTTTCTACAATAGAATCTATGGTAAATTGGGGAATATACAATAGATTAAGGGGGTCGTTATGTATCTTAACCATACGAAAAATCACTTTTTCCCGAACAAACTTGAACCATTTACCATTAATTGTATTGTTGTTCTATTGTTGAAAACTCTTACTATATGGGACGTATTGTACATCTATTGTAATAACAATATGCTAAAACATCGTGTACTATATACACACAATAAGATCGATTGTTGGCAATAGGTTTACTTGTAACTGTATTTTATTTTATGGTAATTGTATGGTTATTTTTTTCCGGGTTGGTATGAAATTCACCACTCGTGCTTCTCAGCGATTCTCATTTCTCATGACAAGTGAAAAAAGCTTATTTTCTTTTCGCGAAAACGAAAAGTTGGATCCCTGTTATTGACTGCCTAGGCTAAAGTGGACCCTACACGATTGCTTTTATTGACAATAATCGTATTGTCAATACATTATTTATTGACGTCAATACATCGAGATTGACAATATTTCTGAATTCACATCATCAATATTATTGCCAATAATTCTCCTTCGCGTCAATACATTGAAACGTGTGGGGTTTGCTTAAGTGTGAAAGCACTGCACAATTCAATCCATTGCTCTGTGCAGACCGTTTGTACCAAACGGTAAAGGACGATGCAATGAAAGAGCCAACAAAAACATTCAGTCACTCACGAGCAGGCGACGCACACCGCTTTCCTTCGCTCACACAGCATGTAATTGAGTCATTTTTCCATAGAAAATGTACGCTCAGTCATTCAAAACAAAGATTGGGTACCATCACGGCAGAATAAACGTGTTGACTGAGTGCTTGGCTGTCAGTGACTCGTTTACCTCTCAATCATTCAGACTCTCACAAGGCAGTGTATGATGAGGCAGATGCAGATGGCAGTTCATATTCATATCAAAATGACTCAAAGAACCTGACTGTTTTGCGAACAGCTCGAAAGTGTCCCCGATCAAGATGGAAATATGACAGGTGGGCAGAAACTCACGGTCTCCCAGTGTTGGTGAGTTTTTTGCCGTTAATGTTCACGAAAACTTCACTATTTTGCCATACAGAAATTCAAAACAAAAAACTACAAGGGATAGCCATATGCGGTTGTACGCAATGGCGACGTAGGACTACGTGGCCTTGTATAATAAATATCATTTGTTAACTGCAGCAGGAGCTTGTGTTCTGTGTAGAAATAGAAATTTGAGCGGTGTTCTATCTGTTTATACTCTTTTGTATGATGCGCATAGATGGCCCACAGCGATTCACGAAGAGCTACTGATTCCAATCAATAGCAATGCGGCTAGCAGGCAGCCTTTCGTTGTGTACTGGAGAACAATGTCAACGCCACGTGCCGAAAGCACTGCTGCTGCTGATGCCGATGACCGGACAACACCACACACGGTGATTGGAACCACCACTCACCACGCGGTGATTGAATAAACACCGTATGGTGTGACCGGATGGAATTCAACTCTGAAATCTGTGTTAGGGAAATCGCTTTTCGCAGGTAATTGGCGATTTTAATTATCATAGCAACAGTTGCACATTCGTGCAAATTTCAATAGTGAAATTTTGAAAAATGATAAAGTCTTAAATTTAAGATGCGTTGAAATATTTCTGATTGATTGGTGTTAAAATTATTGAATTTGGTCCATGGGCAGCAGAGTTATTAACGTTCAAAATCTTTCATAATTTTGATACATGTTCCATTTTCGGTTTTCATAAAGTGTACCCCCATATAGAAATAACAGACGTAGTCCTACGTCAAAAATGTATAGGTGGATTTGGACAGTTTTTGACCTGTTTCATACGATCGGAAGGTGTATGCTGGTCACAAATGCCGTGTCAAACTGATTTCCTATGTAATTAATCAACTTTTGATGTGAATTTCGCTAATAAAAACGAAGAGCATTTCTTATAGCAAAACTTGCCATAACAAAATGGGCATCGTTCATTTTAGTAAACAAACTAACACTTCTTGCTACTGTGTCACCTTTCTATTTCCTCTATACTCGAACAACGCACATCACTCGATCCATCGTCGCCTTGACCAATCGCGTCAGTTTATCCGGAAATCCGTACTCTTGCATAATCTGCCATAGCTGATCTCGATCGATTGTGTCGTATGCGGATTTGAAATCGATGAACAAATGATGTGTGGGCACATTGTATTCGCGGCATTTCTGCAGAACCTGCT